TTTATCAGAAATCATTATAAAATCAAAATATAGAGTAATGCTTATCGATATTCTAAAGCAAAAAAAGGTAAATAGCCTGGTAAAATTGTTTATTTTTTTGAGTAACTTTTAGTAAATCAACGATTGTAGAGGCGCAACACAAACTCTGAACCAAAATTCATAAAATCGAAAAACTGATTCCTTTGTGGAACCTATAACTCGAAAATTTGCCCAAAATCGGTTTAAAGCGAGGCTAACTCTGTTAACTGATAAATATTTATGACAATAAACAACAATTAAAAACTGATAGTGGTAATCAAACAAGATGCAAAAACGTTAGTTTTTTAAATTTCGGGCATCTCTTTCTTAACATCCATTGGTGCCATAAAATGAATTTCCGGGATCTGTCCCTCATACAGACAGCCTTCAGAATAGACAGGTGCAACACTTTTCGCCGGACGATTGTAAAAGCCGCCTGAAAAAAAAAGAACGAAAAAAACAAATGAAATATATGATTCTCGCAACTTCAAACCACGGACAGGGACTTTCTTACATATACTTTTACCCTCATCAATTGGGAAGCTCGTAGTTGAACGAAAGGACACAAAACGTCCAGGACCATGCTTCCGAAGAACGAACGAAATCAACATTGCGCCACAACATCCGCGAAAACCGCTATTTCGAAGGTGGACGTCCCGTAATATATGGCGTAAAAACCAGCCCCCCCCCCTTTCCCTGCATTCGGGTCCATCTTATACGAGAGACGGAACTATTCTGGAAGTAGCCCGACTGGTGGCAAATACCAAAAGCAACCACATTTTGGCAAGACTTCCTTTTTCCTCTTTCAAGAGCTTCGAGAGCTACTCTCTGAGATACGCAAGTACCAATTTATGAGAGCAATAATTTACCATCAAAAAAGCAATGATCAAATCCTAGGAGGGATTTATTGCCACCGTATTACGTTAATTAAAAAATCAGTACAGGCACACACACACACACACACACATACACACAGATAATCCCTCGACAATATGCGTTTTTGCATTGCATAGATGCAAAAAAAAGAACAAAAGAAAAGAAAAAAAAAAAAACGAAATTCTTCGAATCAACCAGATTTATTCGTTTCATTCGGCTTAACAACGATACCATCAGTAATTTACGAAATGAATTTCAAGGGCACGCCATTAAAAGTCAGTCACCTACCAATGGCATCAGTGAAAACAGCTGGTCCACGTGTCATCCCACGACGTATGCCATTCGGATCATCGTTGTGGAAAGCAAACACCGCAACTGAGGATTGATCAACTGCCGGGACACCCTTAACACCACTCTGCTCGATTGTACCACCAGAACCAACATAAACGCGCACATCTTCCTGACCGTTACTACCAGCAAATGTTTCCACTTCATCCTAAAATAAATGTATTTTCGTGAGAGATTTATACACGGTGATAATTAAAGACAATAAAATCCAGTGGGCAATTTTTGCATGTTTTTTGCTTTGCTGATCATCGATGGGCGTCACGTATCAGTGAGTGATACCCAAAGAGAAATACAGGACCATCTGGACGAACCCCCC